CTATAACCCCTGCGCTCTATACCCCAGCCACCCCTGGGCAGTTTCCCTAAACATGCCTTGATTTGCCTGCCTCTCATTCGTGCGGTTCCCTCCGGCAGGAGCGCCAGCTGCTAGCTTCTCATCCTGGCAAGCTCCTTCTCAGGTTCAAACGCACAATTGTTATATCGCCTCTTCTGCAGAGCTTCTCCTAACGTTCCCAGCACAGATTTAAATATTCTCTCTTCTGCATTCCTAGAGCTTTTAATGATAACTGATAGAGATACACTTAATGTAGTACATTTTCCACAAAAATTTATTGGAGGCCTATGATGTCCCAGGCACTATGCCAGGTACTAGGTACACAGAGATCAAATTTACAATCTCTACCCCGACTTATTAAGTAAGACAATAACTAAAGAAAAATAAATTTCAGGGTGAGACGAGCAATAATAGAGGTAAGCCCAGGAGCTGAGTGGGCACATAAGAGGGGCGTCACCTGGGCTGGGGACATCAGACAGGTCTCTGAGAGGAGGCAAGCCCTGAGCTGAGCTGTTTGGAACAACCAGGTGGGAATGGCTTTCGGGACTGCAATTTCTCCCCACGAGATCATGGGCTTTGTGACAGTGGACTAGGTGCTATGTCCCTTGTGCTCTACAGGTGCTCAACAAATTTTTAGGAAACTGAATAAATCAGAAGGGGCTTGGTCTGTGGACCTCTAAAACCCCACTGATATCAAGTTTATTGCTTCTCAACCCTGTCTCCTCCTTCCTCTTGGTGGTTGGCTCCAATCTTGGTCCCACAGATCCAATCTTAGCTTAGCCAAGGAAAAATGCAAATAATAACGTGATTCCCATAAATGTAATTTTTCCTATCCCAGCCCTGGCTTCCCACAGCCAAGGAATCCAGGAACGGAGTTGCTGGCCTGAGGTATATGGCATGTCCAGCTGAGCCCACCACCAGAGTCAGGTAATCATTCATTGCTAAGGGGCTCCCTAGACCATGAAGAAAAGGAAAAATGTGTCACACCATGCCAGGCCAAGTTCAAAAGTCACCAGGTCCAGAGCCACCTGGCAGTTGACTTCCGGCTCCCATCTTATTCTCCGCACTCTGTTTTCTACCTGGCAGCCAGTGTCATTTCCCACAGCCTTTAAAATGAAGTACACACTGCCAGTTCTGGCAGACCAAGCCCTTGGTGCTATCTCCTCCATCTCGCTAACCTCACCTTTTGCCCACACACCTTCTGTGTCTGACCTTCGCCTGGTCCCTCAGTCATATTAAACGTCTTGCATTTCCTTAACGCATCTAGATTTCTCTCGCCTGCAGGTCTTTTCATGTGCTGCTTCTCCCCTTTGCCTGGAAGGCACTGAAACCCCCTGGGTAACTGGGACTCATCCTTCAGTCTCAGTTCAGAGGCTGTTTTAAGCGGAAGCCTGTCCTGACCCTCTCCACATGCTAAAACCTGTGCAGGCTTGCTCCTGCGTGTCCAAACCTCACACCTTCTGCTTTCCCTGTCACCACACGTGTTACACTATGTGGAAATTGCTGCTTACCTGTGTAAGTGTCCTGAATGTAAGGACTGTGTCTGGTCACACCACTGCTTTCCAGCGCCCAGCAATGCATCTGGACTCCATTAGGCACACAATAAGCATCTGTTGGTTGAGTGAGTAGATAAAAGAACCCTGGAGAAAGGGACTGAAGGCACAGTTTACGAGAACGTAAGCTCCGTGAAAGCTGGGACTTGGTTCTGCTCACTGCTGCACTTTTAGCTCCTGGCACATAGTAGACCCTCAATAAATATTTACTGAATGAGTGAGCTAATTAATTAATTAACTAATTAATAAATAAAGTTGGTTAGATGAAGATACACTGCAGACCTGAGTGGTCTCTTCGTGGGCTCTCCACACATGAAGAGAGGAAGGCAGCATGACATGGTTGTCAACAGCATGAAAGGAGCCACGCTTCCATGGGTTCAAATCCGAACTCTATCCCTCACTAGCCACTAGCTGTTTTATGCCTTAGTTATTCTGTCTTTAATTGAGCCTGTTATGTGATTAAATGTCTTAATATTTGCGAAGAAATAACATAGTGCTGGTTACATAATAGAAGCTATTTAAGTACTTGCTATAGAAAACAGAACGGTCTTACAAAATGGAAAGTCAAGAAGTACAATGATGGACACTGTCCATCATTGACAGAACAAGAGATAAATGATAGGTATATTACATAAAGTTATAAACATAACCAACTGAAAATGTGGACACAATTATACGGAAAGGATAGGAGGAGGTTGGGGCTAAGTGAGCTAACCATTCATGTATGAATGCCTCTCTAGGCAGCCACAGATAATGTCCAAAATTGGTAACCCAGGGAACAGTGGTGTATGAATATTGGTGATTTGGAAGTGACTATCAGAAGAACCACCAGCTAAAAGAGGTAAAGCAGTTGTCTGTGAGAAGGGAGATTAGAAAAGGGAAAGACTAGGGCAGCGGATTATCAGTTTTCATTAGTAGCTCTTTTGTACTGTTTAAATTTGACCATGTTCATGTATTACTTTGATAAAATAAAAATATTTAAAAACTAATTGCATAGAAAAAAATCAGATAGGAAGTGCTTGTTATAGCCTTCAGATACTCCCAATTTATCTTGAAAATTCTGAGACTCATGAGATGATGTGGCATCAGGGAACACCCACTGTAGGAAAACTTCTACACCCTCGTTCTCCTTCCTGAGGCTGGGACAGCACAGAAAGTCCATGTCTGAGACCAGGCTCGTCTTCTCAATAACTGTGTGCTCTTGGCCAAAACAATCAATCTCTATGTGGCTCAGTTTTCTCACCAATTAAATTACAATGCCAGTTTTAGACTCACTGTATTGTTATATCAAATATCTACAAAAGAATAAAATACTGTACAAATATTATAATCACAGCGGAGGAATGTTTTAGTGAAGAGAGAAATATGTGACAACATCCCTCTTCAAATCCACTAAGGGTGCATCTTCCAGGCATCTCTTATTAATAATAATAATTAGTAGTTATATATGAAGTCAGAAGTCCTTTGAGAGAACATTCCCAAGATAGTTAATCATTCACTTCTCTGTATTTCTGTTTCTTAAACATGCTTTTGTTATTCACTGTTTCAAGTCCTGTACTACAATTGGTTTGCTTACATCATAGTCTCATCTCCTAGACGGTGAGTTCCTGGAGAGCAGAAATGGTGTTTTACTTATCTTGACATATCCTAAGCTTAACACAGAGCCTGTCCTATATAAAGTAGCCAAAAATGTTTGCTGAATTGAACCTCCTTTTAATAAAGTTTATTTGTGTTATATATAACTTTATAAACATAAAAGACTAGAATGAAGCATATAATGTAACATATGTTCTTCCTCCTATTCATCCGACAAATATTAATTGACCCCCCACAGTTCTATGCTAGGCACTGGGGATTCAGTATGAATAACACACACAAGTAGCTCTAGTCTAATTGCAGGGCGGGTGGAGCCAAGACAGACAAATGAGCAATTTCAATACAAATTGATAAGTTTTAGGTTAAAAGTAAGTATAAGAGCACAAAGGAGGGGTTGCAGCCACTAAAAAAAATTTAATGTTTTGAGATGTCTTCTTGTTAGATTATTTCTCTGACTTGAATTTAAATCTGACTTAGATCCTACCTAAATGAATTCAAAAGATCCAGTCAATTAGTTAAAAGTTATGTACACTCTTCGGTTGAAACCCCTTGGCATCACATAGCACCATCTTAGAGAATGTGATCAGTTAAGGAGATGTGGAAACCCGCATTCTTCCACATATCACATTATTATTATCTCATGAAAACCTCTAGGATCTAGGAGACATTTGGGAAACACATATATGTAGCTCAATCAGAAAACCATTCCTTTCATCTTCTGTGACTTTGCTGTGTTTCACCCCTCACAAAGCAAGTGTTTTATTCTCAGTGTTTGCTTCTTTAAGACCAGCTTTGAAAATTATTGTGGGCAAATAGCAATGAGAAAGGATAGATGACCCCAGCTTTTGCCAAGAGTCAGCCTTTTAATGGTTTCTGCTCTGGTCACTAGTTCGATGACTAGAAGTGAGGTGACTCCAACGAGCTGCCCTCAGGTACCCTCTGAAAGTACTCGATACCGCTGAGTGTCCCCTCAGGACTAGACTATAGTTAGTACTTTCTCTTCCCTTGAAGTTCTCAAGGCACAGCCAGTTCTTACTATTTGGAGTGAGATAGAACCAGATGTATGCATGGTCAGCTACTTGGATAGAAGAGACACGAACAGGAATCAAATCAGCAATTTAATGAGAATATAAGAGAGCATGAGTCTGGGGTATTGAGTGACCGGATGAACATTTTATTAAAACATTACTGCAGATTGTGATCACATTCAAGAAATGTTCCAGGTGACAGTGTTTGGGGTGTTAAAAGCTTACTGGCAGAGAAGCATGACTTGTATGATAACAGAAGTAGTGACAATTACAGAAATCACAGAAGGGCAGTGAGATCATTGCCCAATTAGAAGAGCATTGATTTTTATTTGCATCAAGTATCTTTTCACCAAAAATCTAACCTTTGCTACCTTGACAAATGAAAGAACTGACAAGGGCTGTCTTTTTTTCCTTTCATAGGAGATCAAATGAAACACAGGGAGGTAAGAGAATTTGCTCCAGATCAAACTTGAGTAAAGCCACTTTTTGAGTAGTGGACCCTCAGATTGGGAACCTAGTGACAGTTGGATTATTTTCTCCCTTATTCCATAAATAGAGCTCCATTATGAAGACAGGGTGAAATGGATCTTGAACTGTCATTGCCACAAGATCTCACTTGTGACTCATGTGTAGAGAACCACTTCAAGCTGGAACCTAAGAATGAAGAATATACGTTTCATCTCTGATAAACATTGGCCAAAATCTCTCCCATCATGGATACTATCAAAGGGAGGTTCAGTTAGGACAGAAATAGAACATAAATGATATATTACTTTTCCAATACATAATGAATAGTCTTTGGGACTATTCTTAATAATAAATATTTATTAATTAGAGCATCTAAATGAATATGAAAGACATGAAAAATAAAAATGTAAGAAAATAATTTGACTCATGCAGCACTTTCATAAAAGGTGAATATAATTGAATAAGTCCATGAGTTTGTAAAGGGAAGTGAGCTAGCTGGCTAGTGATGGGGACAAGGTGCTGGAAGTCCACTATGTGGTCAGGGTCACAGCTGTATTGGTGGACTGCTGGGCTCCTGTAGGCTTGGTCTGGATCACTCCTCTTCTGGTGGTCTTGTCCACACTTTCGACTGCTTTTTTCACCCACTCAACTTGCGGATCAGCACAGACTTTAAGGCCACGTTTGGTAATAAATCTGCAATGAGAGGAAAAGGTGGACAAAGTTAGTCACATCCTCCAGGCCTTGGGACCAGGAGTTAAGATCAGACCAAATACAAAAGATCTTGTGCAGAAATTACCAGACAAAATAGTCTTTCAGAACCATGAGACCATATGTGAGAATCTTCTGTGATCTATTTTAACATGAAGGAGAACTATCTCCCAGTAACATCCAGCTCCTTTATTCACCACAATTCACAGGCTCCTTTTCTCATCAGTGCTACAAAATATTGTAACTCAGCTGGACATCTGAGGTCATCTAGTCCAATTATTACATATCTCCCTTTTCAAATCTAAACATAAACATCTTATTTTTAAGATGATTAAAGGTGATTTATCTTAATTTCTTTGGGTAAAGTTGCAAAGCTGTGTTGGGAAGAGCTGCTACTCTGAGAATGAGATCCTGCAAAAAGAGTGGTACCATGTAGGCTAGTTTTCGACACTTTTCCTTGAGCTATGGCAACTGATAAAACCTGGCACTCTACTCTACTCTACTTTACTCCAACACACCATAAGGGAAGGGAAGGAAGGGAAGGGAGGCATCCCACACCTGTGGGGCTATATGTTCAAATCGTCATCTGAACCAGCCATCTTAAGGCTAACCCTCAGAACCGAGTACAGTATTCATCTGGTTCCCCGTCAGATTCTTTTTCTGAGCTAAATCAGAAAGGAGGGTGATATTCTTTATCTAGTTGCCAAATTTTTGTGATAATCATTATTCGGTGCTACGTAAAGACATGGTTAATATGGAAAAACAAAGGAGCTGTGGTTAAGTTGAGGTCTTCCTCCATGCTGACTTATTTTTCCTGAGGAGGGCAGCATTTCTATATACTGTGTTCCATCCAGCCCAGCTTTGGGGGAGGCAAACTCACATGACTGCTTTCATGGAGCCCTCCTTGATGGTGTAGGTCTTGATGTTTTTGACTGGCAGTCGCCGGGTAGTTAGACTCACACAGACACTCCTTTCTAGGACTTCACTCCCCACACCTGGAGAAGAAATCAAGCAGACAGACAAAAATAAAATATAATTTCAAAAAGTATAAATGTTACGGTGCTGTAAATAAAACAACAAAGAATGATATGATAAAGAGTAATTTGGAGAAGGCAACATTAAATGTGGAGGAGGGAGCTTGTTTTTGACTGAATAAATAAAGACGTTCTCATTTCAAATGGTAAAATGTGAGATATATAAAGGAAGCCATTCGTAAAGTATTACTCCCCAATAGAAATGGCCCAAGCAGAATTAAACTTTTCAGTCTAGAGAACATCTTACATTGGAGAAGGGAAAATAACTTGGGATAGTTAACAATATTAAGGGTTTGGTAAAATCTAATCAAGGTTTCTAAGTGCTGATTTTCTCCTAAGCTGAAGAGACTGGTATTTTCTTCCTAGAGGAATATTCAGTGAAAAAGCACCTAGAGTAACAGCTGATGATGATCAAATTTGACCTATAATGTTGCTGATATCAGAAGGCTTTTTTTAAACATGAAACTAAACAAAAGGTGTTAACTAACATTGCTCTTCTTCATCCCTCCATCTTTCCATCACTCTCAATATCCAGTCTGCACATTCTTTACCCTTTATCGCCACCAGTTTATTTTTAATGCTGAACGGTCTCTGAAGTCAGCAAAAAAGAGAAATCTGCTTTTTTTCTCTGTTTCTCTCACTACTTAAGAAACAATATCTCTCTCTGTGAAGTCTCTAACATAGACTTCCAAGACCCAGAGGATCCTACTGGACTCCAAACCCCAAAACCTTCTCCTTATTCTCAGCAACGTTTGTGTGTCTGTTATTAAGACCTCACCTTCACTCACGTTGCAGAGTTGAGTCAAAGCAGAGATTGCTTTATCCCATTGTTGTACATGAAAAGCTAAGCCCCAGGAGACCTTGTAGAGGTCATTCGAGTTAGAAAACTTGGGAATCTGACCCGTGTCTGCCATCCTCTTCAGTCTCTAACGGAGCATCATTTCCCCTGCCCGTACCTGGGTTTCCACCACACGGTACGCCTAACGTCTTAGCAAAATGCCAGCCATGTTGTGGTATTTGGCCTAATTTAGCAGTCTTAAACTTTTTATTTCATCAATACTTTTTATTTTGTGCACAATTTCAGGGAGTCCCAGACTTTGCCACCTCTATTCACAGACACCCTTGGGGATCCATGATGAGGTTCAGATATTCTAGTCTAAGTAACAAGTCTACAAATTAGGAAGTTGAAAGGAGAGTTAACTGAAATATTAATTAGACCCAAAGGATATTCTCTCTTCTTTCCAGAGCCACAAGGAGAAATAAACTCCAATCAATTTAAAAAAGAAAAGATCCTTTAAGAAATACGTGTAGAACACTCAAGTCAGGCTCAGTATATCTAAGTCTCATCTGGGTATGTCTTGCAGGTTTATTTGATTGTGTATAAGGCATTTATCTATTTGTTAGCCTTAACATATGGTCTCTGATAAACTCAAGTTTATTGTAAATGGGAACAGCATTCATAGCAGTAATAATAGACTCTCCTAAGTTCTTGAAGATAATATTGATTTCCTGGGTATGACAGTATGAGCTTCTAGTCATTTTTTTTAATAAAAAACATTGATTTGCTTCAGAATATACACCCCAACATTATGACTGAACTCTCAAAATTTTTGAGAATTTATCAAGATAGATATTAAATAGGCAAAAGCTACAAAAGCATATATAATCATCACCACCATTCCACAGCTAACATTAACCAAGAGATGACTACTTGTGAGGAAATCTGACAGGTAATCATAAGATTTATTTCATTTTAATCCCAGGTGAGAGTATCTGTTATTATATTCAACTTATAGATAAGTAAGTGTAGGCCCAGAGAGGTTAAGAAATTTATCCAAAATCACTCAATTATGACAAGTAGGAGAAACTGATATATAATAATGTATAACCAAAATTACATAATGTTATAAGCTAATATGACCTCAGTAAAATAATTAAATAAAACAAAGAAAAGAAAAGAAAAGTACGAACCCAGATTCTAACCAAGTTCTCTCTGCTTCGAAATCTACAAAGTGCCCTAGAGTCAAAATTATCATTGTGATTTTACATATGGGAAGTCTGAGCCTACCATGGGAAAAGCAGTTTACTCCAGTCAAAATCTGAGTCAAAAGCAAAGCGTGTGCCCACCTGCCTGCATATCTGTTCCGTGTCTCATAAACGGCCTTTTGACTTACCTTCCACAACGTGTGCTGTGAGACAGCAGATCGCGAGGAAGGCCAGGATGAGAGGTCTCATGGCTGAGGTCCTGCTGAGCTGTGCAGGGAGAGAATGAAGAACGGTGCTCCTGAGCCTCTTTTATGACTCTCATGGTCAGCGCACTTCCTGTGGTAAGAGGGGGCTTTCGAGGTGGGTGTGGAATCACGGAAAGTCTTTGCAAGATTGGTGCTTTTTTTCTTTGAAAAAAAAGTTCCTTTGCCTCCACTCATACTAACCCCATACCTTGTGGCCTTTTCCCCTTCTCCTGTGGTTAATGTGTCAATGAAACCAAATGTATGCTTAAAGAAATGTGGTTGTCTCATCTTCTGCCATCGGTCTCAATTTAAATCTTCCACTGCAGACATCCCTCAAGGCCATGAGAGTGTCATGGGCCAGCACCGGACCGTGTAAAGGAAATGAGGTGGGGTGGTTCTTGTGGTCCTGCTCTCCTACCTCCCCCATGTAACATCTGCTGTCACATGAGGCTTCCAACACCATGGATCCTGAGCCCCTGATGCCATCCATAGTGACTCCCTAGGGAGGCGGAGGGATGCTGCTGCCCCGCTGAGTTTCTCATTCCTTCCCCTTCTTTTTCTTCGCATTTCTCCCCTCTACTCTCGTTCAAGTGGCCCTCATTTCTTTACACCACCCTTCCCAGGTACCCAAGAAACATTTAAATGAGTGTTTGGAGCTTTTCTATATGCACATGTTTGCTTTATTGAAACTTAATATATATACCTTTTTAAAAGCTGTTGAAAAGTTGTCCCAATGTGAATTTTATTTTGGAAAAAAAAAAGAGAAAATTATCTATAATCTTACCACTCTGACATTACCATTTTTATTTTTAATGTTTTTCCAGTGAGTCTCTATTGGTATATATATGGTTGCACAGTTGTGACAATTATAACTGCTATTTTAACGTCAATGTAAATATCTTCCCGGGTTTCTTCACAGTCTTCATGTTTCTACTCTGAGCAAATATATACATATTCACCTTAAACCATTCCCTTACAACTTATTGTTATATAGATCACATCTATAAGGTAATTTTTCATTAATATACCCTGAATTATTTCCCTTTAATAACCGGGAGTAGGATTACTAGGCAAAATCATACAACCTTGATAGCTCGTGCTACGTATTGCGATATAGTCTTCCCAAGATGTCGTTTCAGTCTGCGCTGCCTCCAGCAGGGTTTGAGTGGGTTTGTTCCGCTGCAATCTTTCTGGCACTCAATTTGCTGTGGGGCTTTTTGTCTTGTTTTGTTTTACATGGGCATCTATAAAATGTATTTACTAAATATACATGTAGCTGAAAGGTTTGCCATTACTAATAGGGATATAAAAATAACATTCTTGTTAAATATATGTGTAACTAAAAGTTTTTGCCATCGCTATTAGGGATAGGAAAATAAGTTCCTATATTTCAATAGAAATTACAGGTTAACCTCTCAGAGATTTTTCATTAATGGTATTTTATTTTCCAGCCAGACTTCACTCTGAACCTCAGAATGGCTTTTCAGTGATCTCCACCTAGCTACACCATCAGTTCTTAAACTCTGAACACATCTTTCTGCTCAAGATGCTTCTCCTCCTGTTACTCCTTAACATGGAGAATTGTGCTATTTTCCATCCAACTTGCAAATACAAACACTTAGGATACTTAGACTCCTTGCTATCCACCCGTATGTCATTCTCCACCAAGCTGTATTAAGTCTACCTTCTAAGTAGCTCTTCAGTATGTCTCCTCCTCTCTTTCCACACTGCTCAAGGCAGGCCGTCACCATCCCTTGTTAGGACTATTACAGTAGACCAACAGGTTTCCCCGTCTCAGGTCTCCTCCTTTTCCAATCTACTCTCCACAGCATTGCCGGAGTAATCATTCTAAAGCCTTAATCTAATCACGTCGGTTTGCTACTGCTAACCTCTTTGCTAATTCCCATTGCCTACAGGATTCATTTCACACATCTCATTGTGTACAAAGTCGTTCAAGATCTAACACTGCTTTTCCTTTCAGACTCACCTTCCATCACTCACTCACATGCTTCCAAACATCAAGCCTTAACAAACCTGCGTGCTGTCAACCGAATGTGCCGTCCTCTTTTATACACCACACGTACTGCTTCCTTTACTTGGAGTGCCCATCCCAGCTCCCTACATAATTACCTGTAAACTGCTCCTCTACCTACAGTTTTCCTGATTCTTCCAGATAAAATTAAGTTGTGTCATCCTCTAGTCTCCCTTGGAACTTTGTCCCCACCATTGTTCTGTCACTAATCTCATTTATCCCCCTACTCAATTATATTTCTGCACCTCCCACTAGATAGCAGGCTCCTTGAGAACAGGGAAGATGTCTTAGTCGTCTCTGGGTCCCTGGCCCTAGCAGAATGTCTGCTAAGTAGTAGTAACTCACCAAATGGTTTTTAATAAATGAATTCTTTTTAAAAGACCAAAATTATGGTGATTGTATGTTACGTGAAAGATGACTCTCTACAAACATAAAGCCAGGAATTGTGCCTGTGGCTTTCTCTTATGCTTTTAATCAAATAGACTACTTGACCAATGGCTGAATTTTATTTAGCATATTAAAATGGAATTTCTTAAACTCTCAGAATGAATTATTCACTTTCAGTTTTTCAAAGCATGACTAGGTGGAGAAGAATCAAGTAACAAACAAGAAAGTAGAACTTAGTACAAAGTGGGCATAATCTGCTAATGTGCAGATGTTGATTGACAACAACCAGTTGAGAGATATGACTCAACGAATTTCTCTCATCCTTGACTCCTCTCCTTCTCTCACATGCCACACCCAATCTGTCAGCAAATACTGTTGGCTCTCTAGTTTCAAAGAGAATCTAAACCCTTCTTACCAACCCAAGAGACCCAACTCCAAGCCACCATCACTACTTACTAGAATTAGTGGATTCCTGCAATAGCCTCTTAACTAGTTTTCTTGCTTCCACTCTTGCCCTTTTGCAGTCAATTTACCAACCTACCAAGGTGATCATTTAAAAATGTAAGTCATATCAGGTCACTTCTCTGCTCAAAATCCTTCAATGGCTCCCCATTTTCATGAGTTAAATCCAAAGTCTTTTCCCCCACCAGGTTTATTAAGATATAATTGACATATAACATTGTGTAAGTTTAAAGAGTACAACATTATCACTTGACACACACGTATATTGCAAAATAATTAACATAATAAGGTTAGTTAATACCTCCATCATCTCACATAACTACTTTTGTGTGTGTGTGTGTGATGAGTACATTTAAAATCTACTCTCTTAGCAACTTCCAGGTATATAATACAGTCTTGTTAACTACAGTCACTATGCTGTACATTAGATCCCCAGAACTTATTCACCTTCTAACTAGAAATTTGTACCCTTAGACCAACATCTCTTCATTTCTCCTACTTCCCCCCCACCCCCAGCCCCTAGCAATCACCATTCTATTCTCTATTTCTATGATTTTGGCTTTTTTAGATTCCACATATAAGTGATATCATACAGTATTTGTCTTTCTCTGTCTGACTTATTTCACTCAGCATAATGCCCTCAAGGTCCATTCATGCTGTTGCAGAAGGCAAGATTTCCTTACTTTCTGTGACTGAATAATAGTCCATTGTATACGTACACCATATTTTCTCTATCTATTCATCTGTCAATGGACACTTAGGTTGTTTCTGTGTCTTGCTATTGTGAATACTGCTTCAATGAACATGGGAGTGCAGATATTTCTTCAAGATAGTGACTTCATTTCCTTCTGATGTATACCCAGAAGAGGGATTGCTGGATCACTACCATGTGAGTTCTATTTTTAATTTTTTGAGAAACCTCCATACTGTTTTCCACAGTGGCTGCACCAATTTACGTTCCCACCAACGGTGCACAAGTGTTCCCTTTTCTCTACATCTTCACCAACACTTACTTATCTCCTGTCTTTTTGACAATAGCTATTCTAACAGGTGTGAGGTGATATCTCATTGTGGTTTTATTTTTCATTTCCTTCATGATTAGTGATGTTGAGCACCTTTTCATTTACTGGCCATTTGTATGTCTTTGGAAAAATGTCTATTCAGGTCCTCTGCCCATTTTTTAACTGAATTATTTGGTTTTTTGCTATTATCAATCCCTTATCAGACGGATGGTTTATATATAATTTTTCCCATTCCATAGGTGGCCTTTTCATTTTGTTGATTCTTTTACTGTTAAGAAGGTTTTTAGTTTGATGTAGACCCACTTATTTATTTTTGTTTCTGTTGCTTGTGCTTTTGGTGTCATATCCAAAAAACCATTGCCAAACCAATGTCAAGGAGCTTTTTCTCTATGTTTTCTTCTAGGAGTTTATGGTTTCAGGTCTTACATTTAAGTCTTTAATCCATTTTGAGCTAATTTTTGTGAGTGGTTTAATATAGGTGTCCAGTTTCATTCTTTTACATGTAAATATCCAGTTTTCCCAGCACCATTTATTGAAGAGACTATTTTTTTCTCCATTGAGTACTTTTGGCTCACTTGTCAAACACTAGTTGACTATATAAGTGTGGGTTTATTTCTGGGCTCTTGATTCTGTTCCACTGGACTATGTGTCTGTTTTTATGCCAATACCACGCTGTTTTGATTACTACAGCTTTGTAGTATAGTTTGAAATCAGGAAGTGTGATGCCCCTAGCTCTGTTCTTCTTTCTCAGGGTCGCTTTGGCTATCAAGGGTCTTCAGTGGTTCCATATGAATTTTAGGATTTTTTTTTTTATTTTTGTGAAAAATGCCATTGGAATTTTGATAGGAATTGCATTGAATCTATAGATCGCTTTGAGTAGTCCGAACATTTTAACAGTATTAATTCTTCCAATTCCTGAGCACAGAGTATCTTTCCATTTATTTCTGTCTCCCTCAATTTCTTATAATTGTCTTATAATGTCTTACAATTTTCAGTGTACACATCTTTCACTTCCTTGGTTAAATTTATTCCTAAGTATTTTATTGTTTTTGCTTCTATTGTGAATGAGATTGTTTTATTTATTTCTTTTTCAGATATTTCATTGTCAGTGTTTAGAAGCACAACTGATTTCTATATGTTGATTTTTGTATACTGCAACTTTACTGAATTTGTTTATTAATTGTTGGTTTTTTGACAAAGTCCTTAGGATTTTCCACATGTAACATCATGTCATCTGCA